AAATGTATACTTTATATATATATATATATATATATATATATATATATATATGCATACAGGGAAAAGCCAATAATTTAATGAGTTATCTGAGTTGGTTTACGAGCAATAAGGTATCTTACACTGTATACAAGTAGAAGACAGGAAATAAACCATTAAAATAACTATGTAAGAGTAGATAAACAAAAAAAAAGTACCTTGGGGTCTGTCGAACTCTGATGGAATTTGATTGCGTGCAACCGCCAAGTGAGCCGGTAAAGAGAAGCGATTGCAAGGCAATTCTTCCTTCAGCTCAGAGAAATCTTGTTCTTCTTTCTCTTCTTCTTCAGTATTTGGAGAAGAATTAGAAGGAATAGAAGGGAAATACCCCTCCATCGCCGATGCAGCTCAACACGCACAGAAGACCTAGGAGAAGCTGCTAAGATAGCAGGAAAAGAGAAAAGAAGAGGCCATAGTAGATGAACCTGTCTTATAATTAATCAACACTACTTTTTTAAAAATCATCCATGCACTGGAAATGAAGGAGCAGCCGTTTCCACTGGGGGGCCCCCTAGCCATAAGTAAGGCCAGGGGCCCCCAGTAGCACCTCCGCATGCAACAACAACGGCTTGATGTTCAAGGTTGTACGATAAAAACGAAAGAAAAAGAGAATAATTTATTCATTTGATTGGATTTCGTGATCTGTTTGTCGTATACTCCTCCGATTCAGCTTTCTTGCGTCGTCGTTCAGAACCCGGCAACGGGTTCTTCACCTCTTTCTGATCTTTATTTCTTGAGTGAAGTAAACAAGTGTCTGTCTGTTGTCTTTAGTAGAATAAAAAGGGGTAAATGCAGCTGGATTCGCCTGTTTAACGGTGAACTTGACTCAAATACTTGTGTGATCAGCGTTGGCTCGCGTGGTTTCGTTCAACTCTAAGTTGTCGATACACCGCAAATGGCGGTGCTGTTGCAAACTTCCGTCGGTGATCTGACGATAGATTTGTACACGGATCGGGTTCCTCTTCCGTGTTACAACTTTTTGGGTTTAGTTCGCGCGAAATATTATCATAATACCATTTTCCACTCCGTAGAGAAGAACTTCATCGCTAGAGGCGGCAATCCTGCAACAGCTTCCCGTGCTTGGGGGCTCGGCTTGCCTGGTTCACTGAATGAGCACTCAACAAATGAGAAGCAAACAGACGACGTGGGATGCAGCCTTTGGGGTCTTCGTCATCTTCTTGCAACTCGTCAGCTGAACCTGCGCCGCCGTCAGAAAGAATTAGACAAGCAGCGTGCTGAACAACAAGGACGCCTTTCTCTGCTTCCCGCTTCCGTATACGCCGATGCAGCCTTTGAGCTCATGTCTTATGCGCCATTCCCGGAAGACCCTGCGCCAGGCACAGGGATCGCCCCCCTGTCCGCTCCCTCTTGCCGCTTCTGTCCTTTAGACTGCAACCCCAAGTTGAAGCACACAAAGAAAGGAATGATTGGCATGCTGCCTCATGCATCAGGGAAAGCCCCAGGAGGCGCTAGCTGCTTCTACTTCACCCTCAGGCCAAACCTCACCCAACTAGACGGACGGCACTCCGTCTTCGGCGAGGTGGTTGAAGGTGTAGACACACTCGAGCGCATTAATGACGCGTTTGTAGACACCAATCACATACCCCTTACGGTTCGTATTCTTGTCACAACTATTTCCTTTGCTGCTTCCCGCAGTGTACATACACTCAAGCATGCTTTTGCCGCTTCGAAGATGTATTTTTTAGTTGAGTACCATTAAAAAGCCCTTTTCATTATGCTGTTTTGCTTCCTTCTCTTTTTTAAGGCGAATGGATTCAGCACCGCAATTGACTATGTATTTTCTGTTAGAATAGAAAATGTCATCATCATATATCATATATCTCGTTTCTGTTTTCATTTTGTTTGTTGCAGCCTGTGCGAATCTTCCGGGCTTATGTCCTCGACGACCCTTTCTTCTGCACTCTTTCCAAGCCGCTGCCTGCAGCAGCAGCAGCAGCAGAAGATGCAGCAGAAGAGGAAGAAGAAGAAGAAGATTTAGGGGAGCTAGATAATCACAAGTTGGGGCTGAGCCCTCCGGCGTCTCCGGAGCCCCTGGCTGCTGAGGCGCTGAGCGACGAAGAGAAAGACGAAATTATGGCGATAGAAAAAGTAGATTATAAAGAAGCGGAAGCGAGGAAAGGTATATATCAATATATATAAGTAAATATGAATGAATATATACATGTATGAATATGAATGTATTAACTGATTGCATTCACATTCAAATCAATTAATTTAGAGAGTGTTTATAGCCAAGTGCATCAGTTATGCATACGCGCGTGTAGTTGCTTTAAATAAACAATTAAACATATAAACATGATGAATCAATGCAACATATATATAACAGGCGCATATAAGGAGCTTAACGTATCCTGATGATTTATATAAGCAATTCCATTAGTTAGTAATACAATTTTTCTAATTGGTTTAAATTGCCAACTGCATTGTTTATTAATACACGTCTTGTGGTGATTAATATGATTAATATACTCAATTTGACTATTTATTACTATAAATATTATAATTGTATATTATTATTATACACAACTATTAATTTTGTAATTGCGTGTATAAACACTTGCATGATTTATTAGTAGGAATATACAAAGTATTGCATAATTAGTCAATGCAAGTTCTATCTATAGTGTATATACCCAATAGCATTCGTAATGAATAATGCACTTATGACGACAATTAATCGGTTAATTAATCAATTGGTTAATTAATTAATTAATAGCATAATTAATTAATACAAGTTCTGTTTCTGGTGTATATACCGCATAGCATTCGTAGTGAATAATGCACTTATTACGTCGATTTCAATCATTTTCTTTCTCTTTTCTTCTTTCTTCAGTGACTTTGGAAATATTGGGAGATTTACCAGATGCAGACGCCGCACCGCCAGAGACAGTTTTATTTGTAGCTAAGTTAAACCCTGTAACGCAAGATGACGACTTACGCCTTCTCTTTTCTAGGTAAATTAACACGAATAAAGACAGAGTCTTTTCAGATATACTGCAACAGGCAATACAATAAAGCAGCAATAACCCTGGTGCTGCTGAACCGCTTCTGTTGCTGCTGCTGTTGTTGCTACTGGTTTTGCTCTTGTTGTGATGGGGTAGTGGTGTTGCTCTTGTCGTCGGGCTGCTGCTGTTGCTGCTGCTGGCGTGCTGCTGCTGCTGTGTATCTACTGCTGCGAGTCGGATGCTTCGAAAGGAAGAGAAAGAGTGCAGCAGCAAAGGAGACAATTTGCTGCTGCATGCATGCATTCATGTTTGTTCTTGTTTGAGCTGTTTAATGCTTTCAGATTTGGTGAAGTTGTTTCTTGCGATATAATCCGCGACTCACGCACAGGCCAATCGCTACAGTATGCCTTCGTTGGCTTTAAAAAGAAAGAAGAATGTGAAGCTGCGTATTTCAAAATGCAGAATGTGCTTGTAGACGACAGAAGGTCTGTCTATACACCATCCCTAATTATACATTCTTAACTGTGTATGAGCATGTAGTTATATATTAACGTAGATATATATGTATATATTATATATATATAAACTTTTAATTGTATGTTTGCACACAACTATATGCAAACTGAGAAGTATATATTAGCATGTAAATAGTATGCAGACATAAATATATAACGGTATTTCTAGAGTAGTACTCATCTATTTATCTACATATTTCCGCATATACAGATTATATGAAATATATATACATATATATATGTATTGAAGATACATAATATATGCACATTGACCTATATATATATATATATATATATATACATATACAAATATATTTGTTGCACTGTTATTGGGAGACGAGGCTTTGTATCGTTTTCCGTCTTGTCGCAGAATTCACGTGGATTTCAGCCAGTCGGTAATGAGGGAGTGGCATGCCTTCAAGCAGCAGCAGAAGCAGCAGCAGCAGCAGCAGCAGCAAAAAGGGCGCTTCCCGCATGCAGCCAATGGGGGCGGCCTTCGCCAGGCTTCGCAGTTTTCCTCTTTTAACAAGCAGCAGCAGCAGCAACAACACCAACAACAACCGCAGTCGAGTAGAGGGTTTTCTTTCCCAAGAGGAAACTCACAGGGAGACTTTGCTGCAAACAAAGACAGAAAAGATGCAAAGGCGTCCGACAGACAGCGCAGCAGCAACAGCAGCAACTGGGACAGACGCAGCAGAAGCCGCAGCACAGAACGGAGATAAAAGAAGACGAGAATTGCATATTTAAGCCGCACTACAACAAGCAATTTACCTTTATAATAAACAAACAAACAATGAAAGCAACGCGCAATCACCTGAAGGAAAGCTCTTCTCTCAATACGTCGGGGGGGTTGGGTTTGTTTGAGACAAAATTAATGTTTCAAATTATTGTTTTAAGTACTCTCCTGCAGTGTATATACACTTCCTGAGGATGGATAGTAGCAGTCCAGGAGAACCCCCTCTCAGTATTATTTATCTTTTTTGTCTTCTTAACTCCCGTAGCGGAAAGAGAAGGAAAAAGTTTGTTTTTGCCTCAGAAACAAAAATTATAGTATTGCCAACCAACTGCACCTCAGTAACGAGACGAATAGGGGGAGTATAAACAAAAGAAAAGAAAGAGGAAAAGAAGAAAAGGAAAGAAGAAGAAGACGAAGGAGAAGGAGAAGGAAGTAAAGAATGAGTCATCATCAGTTTCTGTGCAAACTTTGTCTGTGTCCCTCTACAAGCGTGGAGGCTGATGCAAACTACCTTGATAACATATATATATATATATATATGTATATATATCACAGCCCTTTATAGGACTAGTGCATTGTTTTGCATGCATGCAAATTGCATGCATGCAAATTGCATGCAGGCAAAACAATCTTCATTTGCTGCCTTGCTGCAGTTATTACAGCGAAATGTTGCGCTGATCTATGACTGCGCATTTCTTTTCTGGAGCGGCCCCAGGCGTTTGGCGCTGCTCTTAGGGCGTCTGCATACAGAAGGGAGAGATGAAGTTAGTTTTAATGAATGTTTCTTTTCTTATCTCTTTTCTTTCAACTGCAACATACTCTAAGTACGGCGAAAGAGACAAAGAGATACAGCAGTGACTTCTGCAGGCTAAGAGGCCCGCGAGAGCTTTATAGGGATATGCAACTTTCGACGGGTATACCCTCCATTCTAAATAGACGAATTCGTCATTTTGTTTCAATAGAGCTGTTATGCTAAATATATATTATATATATAGTTCTAAATTTGTAGGTATTATTCATGTTATTGCGTCGTGTTTTGTTGTCTCGCCTGCCGATGTGGGGGTAATAATAATAGTAATAAAAGAAGTTTTTTAGTACAGCTTCAAGTGGATATCTGGTTGTGCATTCAGTGGGTTGCACTTGGCGGGGTTATTGTGCCCTCTTAGAGAAACGAAGGAAGAAAAACAGAGAAAGACAATACTAAACCTGTTTTTGTCAATAATATTAATAATGCAAAGAAAAAGAAAAGTTTTTTCATAGAGCAGATTAGCGGAGCCCCGGCGTATCGACGTTCAGTGCTCGCAGCCGACCAACCGACGGTTTGAAGGCGAAAGGAAGGGAAGGAAGAATTTGTAGCATCAGTTAAACTTTTAAGTTAAAATTAATAAAAATGCATTTAAAACAAAACCATATTCAGTTACCGGTTGTTTTTATGCAAGTTTCCGCTGTTCAATATCTAGACTCAAGGGCGTGCATGCAAGGAGGGTGGTGAATTGGGTCCTCTGCATTTTCTGTTTTTCCCCTTTTTTTCATTATATATTCCACTTGAAATCTGCATTTTATTGAATAATTCAAATAAATAATATATTTCTTTCTCGTGTTTCTCCCCATACTCAGCCACCCACCACCATGAACAACAGCAGAATTTCATCATGTGCATCTTCCAAAGGAAGTCAATTTCTTCTAACTTGTCGAGCACTTTTACATATGAAATCTGCTGCATTAAATCTTTTCCCCCTGAAAATTTGAAGCAAATAGCAGAAGGATGGAGGCCCCACTGAGGTGTACAGACACTGAAGGAGGGAGGCGAAAGGAGAATCAACCGAGTGGAACATCATCACTTCATTTTTCCCCATTTTTCCCGCTAATATTTGTTCTTTTCTTCTTCCATGATGAGGCCACCGCTGTTGTTTTATCTCCTTCTTCGGCTTTCATATCCGGGAGTCTTTCTTCTCTAGATATTCTTCACAGTGTGCCTCCTGCATCGGCACCAAGAATAACTCCCTTCTATAAATTACCGCAGCACTTGAATTGTTTTAACGCAATACGGAAGAATTTAAACGCAAAAAAGGAACAACAAAACAAACTATTCGCCTTAGTCGACTCGGGGCCCGCGCTGCCGCCTCCCAATCAACCGATATCCCCAGTACGTTCATCACTCATTTCTTTGCAATGTCTACACCTTTTCTTCTCCTTTTTTTCGTTGTGCTTTTCTTGTTTTTTATTCTGCTTTAACTTTTTCTTGTTTTGTTTCTTATGCTTTGAAGATAGCTTGTTTTGTTTCTCGCGCTTTGAATCGCAAGGAAATATGAATGTAAATGAGTAACTAAATTTACTCATACATATTTATATATATACATTTCTGTAAATATATATATACGTGTCTTTTGTCTGTATTGGGGTGTATGTACAGACGATCCTGCCGACAGCCCTGCGCAGCGGCGCAGATGTGTTTAGTCATTTGTTGCATTTCCAAAGAAAAATATTTTTATGGGGCCCTCTAACAGAAGATGCTGCTGCTGCATTGGCAGCACAGCTGTTTCTGTTGCATGGAGAGACGAAGGAGAATATGAAAAAAGATAAAATTAGGTCTAGAGGAGGATACCTGCTGCAGAAGCAGCAGCCGTCTTCCCCTGCTGCTGCTGCTGCAGCGGCTGCAGGTGCTGCTGGTGCTGGTGCTAGTGCTAGTATGAGCAGCAACAGCAGCAACGTAGAGGGAGATGCTTCTGCTGCTGTTGAAATTGTAATAAACAGCAGAGGGGGCTCATTGACAGCAGGTTTGTCTCTCTACAATGCATGCATGCATGCATGCATGCACGCGCTTTTTTTGTTTTCTTTTCCTCTCGATCGTAGTGTATATGCTTCTTCTTATTTATTCCTTCTTGCTGGTGCGTCTGTCTTCTTTGCAGGCCTTGCATTGTATGATATTCTTTCTCTTCTTTCTCCCCTTCTACCTGTCAAGACACTCGCTGTCGGTACAGCGGGGCATATTGCCTCTCTTTTATTGGCAGCTGGAAGCAAAGGAAAGAGAAAAGCCACAAAAAACACAAAAATATTCTGCTGCGAGTCCGCCTGTAAGAACAAGCGCTCCTTATAAAAGGAAACAAAGACTAAAAATATACAATATATATATATATATATATATATACCTTGGGGCTTGGGTTGGTGGCAGTTGTCGGCTACTTGAATGGTGTTTGCATGCACCGAAAGTCATATTTCTATGCCTCTACCTTCATTTATATCTATTCTTTGTTTTTCTATTTGATAAATGTGTAGATTGTTTTCACTGCTTGTGCGTATAGTTAGTTTGGTATATATTTACATCTTTATAAATATGTTTAAAAAGTCATATTTTTCTCTGCTGCGATTAAGGAGACGTTTGTATGGGTGCTTTTGTTGCTGTTGCATGCATACGCATACAGTACAAGATGTGCATGCCGATGTATTGTCGTATATTTACTTATCTATTTATTTATTTACCCACTTTTGTTTGTCCGTTTATTTCTTTTTGTTAGTTGCTTGCCTTCTGTGTTTGTTTGTTTGCTTTTTTGTTTATTTTGTTCATTGTTTATCTGTTTGTTCCACTTATGTTTTAATTTTTTTTGTTATTTATACTGTTGCTTTCTTTGTTTGTTCAATTGTTCATTTGTTTGTTTGTTTGTTTGTCTATTTGTTTATTCTAGGTACAGCTCAAGGCTCAGCTGATGAATTGATACAGCAAACGGCGTCAGTTGAAGGGCAAGAGAAACTGTTTGAATTTTTGTTGTCGAAGCATACAGACACCCCACAAGGAGAGGTGATACATATATATAATATATATATTTTGTTTATTTAAATGGTTTATTTGCTTGCTGTTTTTGTTTAAATGATTTAGTAGATTGATGCTTTTGTGTATATCCTCCGCTTGATGAATGCTTTTATTTCAATGTTGTATTTATTTGCTTGTTGACTTGGGTTTAAACGGTTTGTTTGATTAATGTTTTTATATCAATGAGTTTTTGAGGTGTTGGTACACTGCAATATCTTCTCTTGGTGAGTGTTTCCTTTAATGTGATTCCCTAGACAATTATTTTGTTTTTGGTGAGTGCTTTTACTTTAAACAAATATTCTTTGGTTTAGCGTTTGTATTTTTTTCGTGAGAAGGGCATTGAACAGATGCAAGGCGTATATATTTAGAGTGTCTGTCCCTTATCAATTCTTATTTACAACAATATACAATATACTATTACAATTATCACCATAATCATCGTTATTCCTATTAGAATTATTAAAAGCCCCTTATTATGTGCACCTGCATTCTTCTCTTCTTTGTATTTACACAGGTCGCTGAGTGGCGGCGTCAGTGCCGAGTGTTCACAGCCCAAGAAGCGAAAGAAAAAGGAATTATCGATGCGGTTATTCCAGAAGGCAACTAGTACTAAATGCAGAAGGTCTTTATATACGTGTACATATGTATATATATATATATATGTATATATATAATTATATATGTATATATATATAATGGCATATATACGCTATTTGTAGATAATATATAATATATATATATATATATATATATTATATACATATATATATATATATTTGTGGAACGTCCGTATATATGCCTTTTTGTTTGTATGAATCCGCAAATGTGTTTAAGAACGCATTCAACTGAAGTTATTTTGTTTCTCTCTGTCTCGCCGACATCTCTGATGGTAGGATTGAATGCCCAGCATTGTAAGCTACAGATTTTGTTTTAGAAGGGTAGATAATACATTCCTTAGTTGCACTCTGTATGCCTCACTATGGCCTTTACAATACATGAAGACGCCGTATTTCGTCTTAGCCAGCTTCATTTGCGGGTTTCCATCAGCAAGAATGCGTATCAATACGCTCCCTAAATAGACTCACATATACAATATATATATATATATATATATATGTATATATATATATATATATATATGTGTGTGTGTGTATGTGTATATATATTCCTCTGTATGCATACGTGTACATATATATATATAGCGCTGTCGAGGCTAAATAATCCCTTTGTGTGCTTCCACTGAAGATAAATTTGTCTGTAACGGTCAGAGGAGGTATCGTAGTAACATCTTAATTATATATTCGCCCGTATATAGTATTAATCAGCGTATCATTTAGATGTAATGACGCCGCAAAAACAATGGCTAAGCACCCTATGTGTTACATTAATATTATAATATAGTATTATATTATATATACTGTGTACACATGAACTGTGCAAGCAAACGCTACTTATGCTAAACGAAGTTGAGGGGGAGCGGGCACTCCTCGTGAAGATTATTCATATGACTGATATCCCTATACCAATATGCACGTTGCCGTCTTACGTGTATATGCATGCATATGTATGTGTGTGGGGCCTACCATATTGTTAACAATGTGTCAATACGAAGTAAATATATTAATATATGCACAATATATGACCAACATATATGGTAATTCATTGGTATCTGCATCAATATAATATGTAAATCCATGTTCTAATATGCATTCATTGCATATTACTGAAAATGCAGTGCTTTAGTTCTGATCGAACAAAATGAAATATGCCTAAATATTTCTACAGACAGCAGAATAACACCACTGCTTTTCATTCTAGAGCAGGGCTACACACTGACTCCCTGGTGGGTGGGCTATGCGTAAAGGGTGGAGGACGCAGTGTGTTGCAGAGAAACTGGCGAATAAATGGAAAAATAATGTTATTAAAAAACTTATTATTTCGCATTCTACACTGAGGTTTGCGCGTTTCTGAAAAATACGAAGAAAACAGACACAGCAGTGGGGTCGGCGTCTATGTGCTGATGGCGTGACCAGTGCGGCAATCCTTCTGTTTAGTTTAAATAAATTAGTTTTATATTCTCGAATAAATTTGCTAAAACAATTTCCTTTTCAAAATTTCCCTACTGTGAGGGTATTGGCCGCAGTGACGTACAACAAAACACCGAGTGTCTGTACACCAGTGGACCACCTGCGGCCCCAGGTAGCAAGACGCATGATGCATCACTTCTTCTCTTTTTTCTGCATTTTTCAGAATTGGACGACTTCATTTGACCTCCTGTTTCGTTTTCAGTCTTTTTTTGTCTGCTTCCTATATAGACTGGCTGGTGGTTTCCCCAACTGCCTTCGGGCAGGCGCTCGTCACACCGGTCTAAGGGGCGTCCTTGGGTTTTGTACGAAGATGCATGCGTCTGCATTTCATTGTCTTTTTGCTCCTAACCTCTAATTCTTTGAGACAGAAGCCTTCTTTGCCGCCATACCCCCCTTAGTGCTCCAAGATGGGGGCAGCTTGCATGAAATCCCACGGCGCCGCCACCGACGCTGTGGCACCCCGCAGGTCCACAGCTGAGAAGGCAGCAGACGCAGCAGCAGCAGCAGAGGAACACAGCCACAAAGCGCAGGAAGCAGCAGAGACCGCTGCTGCTTGTGCTAGGCGGGCATGTGCAGAAGCTGCTTCGCTCACCGGGAGAGGGTCTGGTGAGGCTGCTGCAATGCAAGGGGACCCTAAGGTGGACGAAACAGAAGAACAACAAATAACGACAACTCCAGCACAAACGCACGCAACGGAAGAACCCCAGGCGTCAGCTGTCGTTCCCCTGAGCGATGCGGACGCACAGCTCTTGGCTGCAGCGGAGAAGCAGGCAGCAGCAAAGCAGCAGCAAGGGGGATCTAATACACCTCACGCGTATTTGTTCTATGCCACTGAACTAAATGAGGGTTCTCTAATTATGCAGTGGACTCCAACACAAATGAGCGAGGAAGATATGCATGCAAAGAACCTGCTGCTCCTCGCCTCCTTCACTCCTGCCAAGCACAAAACCGTCTCTAAGAGCAAACTCACACAAAATGGAGGCGTTACCTGTTTGCTGCAGGAGATGAAAGTATGACTGACAAGGACCCGATTCGAAGCCTTGCATGCACTATTGCTGCTGCTGCTGCTTCTGCTCTATTCGTGCGGGTTATATCACTTTTGCTTCTGCCTTTTGAGTTGAGTTCTGGTTTTTCATTGTGCTGCTTTGAAAGGCAGTGGATGCATTAGTAAATATTGTTGTATCTGGTAGCAACTGCACTTTTCATGTTTGTTGTTTATCCATTCGTCTAGCGTTTCTCTCGCTGCATTGCAAGCGGAAGGAACACTGGAATGTGTAGCTGTGTTTTCGCTGCTGCATGTACACCGCATTCATCTTCACACACGAATATGTGGCTGCTTTATATGTCTCCTAACAGCGACATATTATATAGTGGTAATAATATGAAGGACACGCTTGGCTCTTCAGCAAGACTACTAATGTTCGGTAATGTAATGCAGAAAATCGTGTATGTGCTTGTCTCCGCAGTACAAGTGGGATGTATGGAGCAAGGTGCAGCGGCAACCCTATTACCAGGGTTGGATGAAGTTCATTAAAGCAGCGGACGAAATGGAGGCCTCTGTGAAAGTGCACCAATTCACTTCGCCGGCTCCAGCAGCCAAGGTGTTCTTGCTTCATACAGGGCCTGTGAGCAGCTTTCTCTGAACCCGTTGCAGCTAGCTAGCTAGCTAGCTAGCTGGCATATGCGGATAGCTGGCTAGAGTTGTAGGTACCTGCAGGGGGAACGACGGTGCGTGTTGTTTGTTGTTGAATTTCAGATCGAGAATAAAGTGCTGCCTGTGAAAGAGGAAGAGGAGTTCAAGATCTCCGTGTTTGGCTTCGCTGCGGTAGTACCCGCGCAGTCTTCCTATAAACCTGGGGCAAACATAACCCCGAAAAGATTCGGAGAAATCGCTACAGAGGCAGGTACGTGGTGGAGGTGGCTTTGTTCATTGTTTCACTCGCCAATTCGTTGGAATAAGTTGGATTCTTTGACCCAGTCTGTTGCTTCGATTCATCAGTTGAATCTTTCGATATGAAATTCGTTCGATTCACCAATTTCATTCACCTACTTGATTCTTTAGTTCATTGACTTAGAGTATTAAATTGGTTTATTAGTTTTGTTCGTTTCAGTTCATTGCATGATTTCAGGTCGTTGCCTTCGTCTGTTTGTTCAATCTCGTTACTTTTTTGTGAATTTTTCCGTCAGTTATTTATCATTATTTTATTTTGTTATTTGAATTTATCATTTTTCTGTAAGATGACGAAGCAACTCATCGATTTGTTTGAGGCTGAGTGTCCTCTTACAACACGCTCCTGTGACGTACGTTTCCGTTCATGAACCTGAATGCACTGGAAAAGCAGCTGCCATTGTGCATCAGTAAAAGTAATAATACTAACATTTACGTAATCATAATAACAATAATGATAGTAGTCGGACGAAGAAGTAGCTGTGGTGTTGTGTTTATTAGGCGGGGCCTATATTCAGCTTTCTCGCAGAGGAGGTGATGCGGCTTTTGATGAAGCAGAAGTTGTGAGGTGGCTGGCGGCCGATGGATTGGAAATTAAAAAAGGAGGAGGAATTACAATGGATTCTGCAGGGACTTATGAAAAGAGATCGGATAAAAAGGGAGGAAACGCAGCAGACGAACTAAACCCGAAAGTCTGAAACAGTGGAATGCGAAATTTTACAGTTGAACTAATAATAGAGAGTACATGCACGGTTTTCTTGTCCTCTTCATTTTCCATTGTCCATATGTTGAACCTTCATCTTGACTCGAACAACTGGCAGTTTAAGCATTGGTCACATTAACGAAATTTCAGGGGAGAGGCCGTGCAAGCATCCAGTTGCTTACCCAATCACACACACACCCAACCGCACAGACTCACGTATGAGAGAGATACATTATAGTTCGTGTATTACAATAAATAAGCCAACAACACAGTATATATAAATGCATGTATATATATATATATATATATATGTATATGCTGCCGAAAGTTGTGCAATAGTTTTGCGACTACACATCTTGAGGCGTCGCTGCAATATTGAACAGCGGGATGGGAGGCCACGAAGAATAGAGGAAAACACAATACGGTAAATAGTTGTACTTAGCATTAATAGCTGACTGGCATATATTAATATTTCTGAATCTTTGTGATACCGTATTATCGATATTCAAACTAGAGAAGGTTAGGACAACGGATGTTTTTCGCAGTGTGCACGGAAATGCGTAGAAGACGCAGAGGAGGAGTCGTGGAAGCGGTTAAGAGGGTGGCTGATGCATCGATAGAAACCTTTAGCTTCTGGTTTAATAGATTAAGTAGAAAATATATACCATTATACATTGTTTTAAAAGGAATATACGTGTAGATAGATTGCTACACTTTGGTGGGGAAGGCGGCATTTAATGTAGTCAAGAGGGTTTGGGTTAAACAAATGAGTTATGAGTTAGCGGGGAACTTTCGTCTGTATATTTTTAATTATCTACAGAGCAACGCGTCTGCGTTTTTGCTGAGATGAGGCAGAACAAGAGAAACTTCCAAGAGCGATTAGTCGATGATAGTGTGATTCATGCACCGTTTGTTAGCCGTATTGGTAGAGTTTCTGACGATAGGAGTTCAATCATTATTATTTTTCGACTAATGCTGTATTATTTATCATTATCGTTGAGAGAGTTTAGAAAAAGCCGTACGCTCGACCTTAAAAGCCTCCTGCGGTCTGTTCCTAGCGAATCTTCGTCCATTTTTCTAATGTTTTCGTTCTTTTTTTGTTGGATAATGTGCAAACAATCTCTCTGTCCCAATATATATGCATCTACCTTTTGTTTTTGCACTTTCTTCTCCTTAAGCTCCGTTTGTTTCTCTGCTTGCGTAGCATCCGTTTCCGTGTACAAGTCTACTCGCAGGTGAAAGCTGAATGAGGGGTAAATGAAGCTGAGGACCGACCCTTGACCATAAAAACAAAATGGAATTTCCTTTTCTCGAATATGACAAATTTTTAAATTTGTTTTCAAATTATCTTCACTCGTTTTTCTCTAATTCCGCCAATCGAGCCATCCCGAGTCCGCTGCGCCTGATGTGCGGACGCAGCAGCGCTACAGCGGCCACCCTGACGCGAGAGAGACTGCCAATATTGTATTTTAAGGGCTGAAATAATGAAAAAATAAAAGAATTCAAAGACCAAGTTGTTTATTCGTATATATAATACCTATACCACTCAGCAAAACAAAACCTGCAAGTGTCTTTTCACCCCAAGTTCCCACACTGAGCCGCGAGGTGTGTGTGAGTTTCACGCCCAGTCTCGAGCTCGTGCAGCAGGTTGGTGAAGAACTCTCTCGTATTTTTCTTCTTTATGAAATAATTTCACTTTGAAATTTCAAATGTAATTCTTTAACCCTGCTGATTTCGCACGAAGATCTCACGCGGCTCTGCAGCTCGGCTGTCGGCAGCACACCACCAGCAATGGCCGCCGCCGCCACTGCAGCTGAGCTGTAAGAAAAATTCATATCCTGAATCATTTCATTATTTTTGTTTTTGTCAATAGTCTATATGGGTAGAGTGTCATTATAGAGTTGTGAGGGTTACTACTTGGGGGGAAGCACACCGGAAGTTTGAAAACTTCGCGGGCTTCCATAGGGGATCAAATTGAAACTTCGGTCAACTTGCAGTGTCTAGTTATTTTCTTTTTGCCGCTTATTTCCTGTTCATCGGCAGAGTTTGTTGCACCCATTCTCACCGAGGAACTGCGCGAGGGGAATGAAGAAGGGAGCCCCAGCGACAAGAAGACCAATCACCAGCAAAACCAAACCAAACAAAGCAGCAGCTCCCTACATCTTTGCTCATGCATTTCAGCCATTTCGTCTTCAGCTCCCCTCAGATATCCCGGGCCCCATTGAGGATTAACGGGAAGGTATATGTGTGAAGCCCCAGGGCAAAGAGAGAAGAGAGGAGTGCTCTGTGTATACTATATGACACAACTTGGTATATCTCCTAGAAGGCCCCCATGTCAGTTCCTCCTCCTCTGTCGGCTTTGAACTCCGGCAAAAAGGCCCAAGGTCCTCCGGGGTTGAAGGGGGGCCCCTTGAATCCCCCCAAAAAGCTGCCTCTGCTGCGCGCCCCCAAGCTGCCCCCCGCGCCGCCTTCAGCAGCAGCAGGAAAGCGCCCCCTGCCTTTGCCACTCCAGCGGGGGCCCCCTCCTGCTGCAGCAGCAAAGGCAGCTCCTGATGAGGAGGCGGTCTCTGTCTCAGAGAGTACTGAACAGGGCCTTCCCTCCAGAACAGAGGAAAGCCCCAAAGACGCCTCAGAATGCAGCAGTGGCAGCCCGCAACGCACGTTGTCAGGCAGCCGGCTGACAGGGGATGGGGGCCCCCCATCGAGGGGCCCTTCGGGCTCCGTGGAGCAGCCTTCAAGCGTCACAGAGGAGCAGTCTTCTCCCGTAGATGAATCGCAGCACGATGGGGCCCCTTCCAGCGACCGGCAACAGCAGCAACAGTCCAAGGAGGCACCAGGGGCCTCCAACTCCACACCACCTCTCAAAACATCTGAAGAAGCAGAACTTAGCTCCCCTGTCTCCAGGGTGTCTTCTCCTGAAGCAGAGGACGAAAAGCAGAAGAGCGCAAAAGGAACGCAAGCAGAATGTGCTGTTGTATCGGGAAAGGGGGCCCCCAAAGCGAGGGGCCCTTCAAGGCCAAATACTGGTGCAGTTGCTGCACAAAGTGGAGATAATAAAGAAGTTAAAAAAGGGTCTCTGCACGTGCCGGCAGAAGCCCAACTTCCCCCAGCAGACGCCCCATCAAAGGACCTGGGATCCCCCCAAGTGCCACAAGCTCAACACTTGAAGGGGGTCTCCAACGGGGGCCCCTCGCAGGTCCCCCTGCCTTCGCATGTGCTGCAGCAAATAGAAACAGACAGCCACGACCGCCCTTCCCCCGACCCTTACTCCTCCTTAATACGGCAGATGTTTAGCAGGAGCTGGGAAGCATTGGAGGCCCCCACTGCGCCGTTGGGGTCCCCCGGGGGCCCTCCTTTCCAGTATACAGTAGCAGGGGGGGCCCTGGCCAGCACATGGTGTACGTGCAGCGGAACGCTCGCAGGGGGATCGATCCCGGGGGGAAGTTGTTGCTGCGCCTGCTGCACGCCTAGCTGCATGCATGCAGCTGGAGGCTTTCTTCCGCAGCAGCAGCAGCTGGTGCAGCAACACCAACAGCAGCGTTTGCTGTTGCCCCTTGATGGAGTTCCCTTGGGTCTGAGTGTGACGCCCCACCTCGGGGCTCCCCAAAGTGATCTCCAACCGCAGCAGCAGCAGGAACTGAAGAACCAGGGACAGCAGCAGCAGCGGCAGCCTCTTACTGCGATAAATTTTGACTTTGATCTCATTCCGGCGGAAGCTACGGGCGAAATTGACGAATCAGAAGAAAGCGATTTGGGTAAGAAGCCTGCTGAGGGGCTTACCTCCGCTTACACCAGCAGTAGTAGTAGTAGCAGCAGCAGCAGCAGCATGCATGACACCCGCGTATTTGTTGAGCGCATATATATATATATATATATATATATATATATATATATATATATATATATATATATATAT